GGAAATCGAACCACGGACTCTGGAATACCGGCCCAGTGTGCAGAACCACTACACCACGGAGGCACGCTAGGAAGGCGGGTGAAATACCTTATAACTGTATTGCCATTCACATACCTAAGAATAAACGTGAGCTGATCTTTATGACTCATATCTGGGGTGGAGTCAACTGTAATGGAGAAGTATTAATTTAAAAGTCAAACAACAAAAATCTGCGTTATATTTTCAAGTTTTCACATGACTAGTTTTGATGGTTTTACTGAACCAGCATCTTTAGCTGCAAAATCGCAAATGAACAAGATAAGATATCATGATTAGATAAGATAAAATAAGAAAGAAGACCTGCGAAAATTTGAAAATATAACTCTGATTTTTGATGGTCTACTTCTAAACTAATACTGTATAAATTAATACTTACTCACCCTATTCCTTTATTTGTATATCGCTGTAAATGTTCGGATAATAAGTCATCAAACTGAGACAAATGCACAAGACAACTTAAGTAATTTCCTTTATGACGACTCGTTATATCCTCAGTGGATCCAAGGAAAGTTAATTCTTGAGAAGCAGGTAATTTGATGGTATCCCCCAGCAGTTCTCAAAATCTCCCCCCAATACTCAGCTTCACGTTCAACTTGTTCTTTCAAACCAATATCTAGCATTCCAATAAGGCAGTGTTTCATAAACTGTGGGTAGCGGGACCTGCAGCAACTCCAACAATGCAGTCCTAACGGTATTTACATCTCTAGGAAGAGGATGTCGCCGAGCACCTGCTTTTCCAAGGTAGTATCATAAATTCGCTATCAGGTTAGTATCAGGAGATTTTGTTGGACATGGTATTCGATCAATGTCTTCACTTTAAACGAGGTTTGTTTGATGCAGACGAGTTAACGAGGTTTGCTTGATGTGGACGAGTATTATCTTCCACAAATAAAATGTCAGATCCATATTCACCTTTGAAAAGCCTTGCATAAGTTTTAAACCTCATCCTGACATCTCCTCCCGGTCATAAATCCGCTGTTGAAAACATGTAGGTGCATACGTCAATCGATCACTATTCCTCCATACTATCAAACCTGCACTACCGAAACGTCTGATAATGTTTGAAGGTAGATTTCACATTCCTGACTTCCTCCAGGTGTAAACACGGTTAGAATGTGATGTTCAATTAAATCTCGATTCACCAGTTAACAGAACATTAGTTCATTGATTTTCACTACAATTCTAATGTTCTATGCACCAATTAAAGCGATCCCTCATAAATTGTGAAGAGTGTGGAACGTATACCCCTGGAGCTTTCTGGTTTAAAGTAATTTTTTTAATAAGCTTTCTGTATAGAGTTTGCGGGGATACAACAGATCCAGTTGCGATTGCCAACTCTGAACTTTACACCTAGCAGGGGACATGCTATTGCGTCGGGCAGTTATTGCGAAATAATCGATCTTGAGAAGCAGTTGTTATTTGGTTACGACCTTCTCGAGGCCTCCTTACAGTAGTTTCAGAGTACTGAAATTGTTTTTCTAACGTAAAGATTGTCGGTTTTGAAATATTCGGTGTCAGCCGAAAACATTGCGGCAAAAACATGGAAAAAACAACGCAAGACGAAAACGTCATGGTGCAAAACATCGTGGGAGGAAAGAAGGCAAAGAGAAAATATCGCAATTCTAAAACATCGTGGTACAAAACATCGTCGTCGAAAATACCGTGGTAAAAAATAAAGTATCTATAAATCATCGCGTGACTATAGTTAGTGATAGTAAATAAGATGTGGATTAAATGAGATGGTTGTTGTTGTCTTGTTCATATTACATGGAACAGTGGTTGCCAGAGCCTGCTCCGAAGAGAGGTTGGACTTCTATTTTCCACCCCAATTTTGAGGAAGAGCACCCCGGCTGGGGATCCGGGGCTTTCCCACCCGTCTCCACTCCCACCAATCCACACGAGAGGACTTTCGGTTAGCCGCATATTTAAAGTGCCGCCATGCCTCAGCGACGCTACACATTTACAAACGTCCATGTCTTCTCCGGGATTCGAACCCGAGCCTTTCGGTACCGCAGTAGGCTTCCCTAACCACTATACCGTCTGGGCGACAAATGAGATGGTTAGTGATAGTAAATGAGATAAGTGTTAGTGTCAAGGTGAAGGTGAACTTGAATGCTGCAGACAGATTTTTGAGGTAATAATGACAAAAAGTTAATCTTTTGTCAGATGCTTTTATATTACAATTTCTCTTCACTAAAATTGTCTTCTGATCTTTAGTGAGTCTTATCATCTGAAGATAAATTATGTCAGATGCAAATGAATTCAAGTGAATAAGTATATCTTATTTTCGAAGTAAACGAATTAAAGGAATTAAACTGCATACATTACCTCAGAAGCAACCGAATTATTTCAGGTTGAGGATGTTCACAGCATTGCAGATATTCTCCAATTGGGGGCTTTAAAACAGGTCTGTTATCAGATACGGTAATTGCATTCGGGTTGGCCCCACGTCTTAGAAGAGTTTTGACCACTTCTAGCTGATTCACAATTTTTTCGGTGAGAGCAAGATGCAGAGCTGAACCGACAACTGTTGACACTGCATTGATGTCAGCACCGGAATTTAAAAGAAATTCTAGAATTTCCACACTGCCTCGGAGAACTGCAAAATAGAGTGGTGGTGGTCTTGTAAGTTCGAAAGGAAAACACACATTAGCTCCATGACGGATTAGGATCTCCACAACTTCAAGGTTTCCCGCTATAACTGCGTAATGCAGAGAAGTACGCTGATCTTCTGAGGTTATAGCATTAACATCAGCTCCATAACTGCAATAAAAATAAACAATTGTATTCACTTATTTGATGGTGCTAATATACTATGAATACAGCAAAACAGTATTTAATTGAAAAAACTTGAAAAGTGAGAATACTCTGCGTAAATAGTACTCACACCTCAAAAACCTTAGCGATGCATATTCAAAGCTTAGTGACGAAATACCACAAATCGAGTAAAAAATAGTGAAGAGAAGACGGTCAGAAATTGGAGGAAATTAACCAATTACGTTGCTTAAATTAAATCTTGTTCGATACATTTGGAACATATTGTTACAAATTTTGTATATATATATATAGGTGATTTTAGTGCAATTGTATGTGAAATTGTTGTATTTTTTCTATATAATGTAACATGGAAATCTAAAGAAAGGATGCTTTGCCGAAAAAATAGAGGGGCAAGATATCGCCAGGCTGGAGACAGCCTTGCCTTGGTAACTAATTTGGTTGCCAAATATGGCAAGAAATCACCAAAAATCACCAAACTTGGTGACCATTTGGTCACATTTTGTTTTGGTCTCTGTACAACTCTAACGGATATGATAATTGAATAACTGTAATTCTAACGTATTCGGCCCTCATGGCTTTCAGTGATTTCGAGAAGAAAGTACTAGAAGTACTGCTCGGCGGCCAGTCGAAAACTCTAAATGACAGGACGTAGCATCAGTTTCTTAAGTGTTAGGTCAGTGTGAGTTCGGAATATTGAGATATCTCCCTAGATACGCACTGCACTGTTCTGTGTTTAACGTTCTTAGTAGTTTGAAGATCAACTACTGATTGTACTCTGTGATACTGTGAAGAATTGTATGATTATTTTTGTGGAAAATTCCCCAACTGTAAAGCATTTTCTTTGATAAATTTTTTTATCAACCTATCATGGGATGTGCGTACATTCAATCTATTACGAACCCATACTCTACAGAGATAGAGTAGTATCGGCTTTCAGCATAAGTATTTTAGCTTAATAATGTTTTGACCTCATTTATTAGCTTTGAATGCAATACTGTTTGAATCAGAAAGAATTTCGCGTAAAGCAGTTCATTTCCTATTAACAAACAGACATTGTGATAGGTGTTATGAGATAGAATATTTCTATCTGAGTTTCTGAAATTTTGCGGAACTTCGAAGTTTTTTCTATAGCAGGAATGATTTTTGGGCACAAAAGACTTACATATTTTCATTTCACAGACTGGAAGATAAAAATGTATGGTTATCAAAAAATTATTATTTGGACCTAAAAATTATTAGATGCAATGTGATTTGTATATAAATTAAATACCTTAGTAATAAATGGACAGCTTCTACAGCTTGCGGATTGCGACAGGCTTTCATGAGAGGTGTAAGTCCTTGTAAGTCTCTTGCGTTAGGATCGGCTCCATACGTCAACAACAGCTCCAGCGATTCTAAATCCATTGGGTCGACTAAATTTATTTCATGACCTAAGTAATAGAGAGCACTGGGATTGGCACCATGCTCCAGTAATAGATTAGCTGTATCGTGTTCTCCATTTCGTAACGCTAGCCGCAATGGTTCATCTGCAGCAGTTGCTCGAGGTGGATTTCCATATGCTTTATCATTAGGATTCAACTTTAAAATAAAGAAAACACACAGAGTTTAGGCTTAATGAAATGCACAAGATTTGTTTAGATGATATTAATTAAAACTAAACATTATACATTAAAAATGATGAAAATCCTAATACGAGCAATAAACTAAATACCATTTTGGTAAGTTGGTCTATGAAGATTAGTAATTAACTGATGCTAGCTTTCCTTTTTATTTCTGAATATAACTTAAAAGGCAGCTGCCCAACCGGAGAGTAGTTAGCGACGCTGACTGCCGTACCGAAGGCCCTGGATTCGAATCCCAGTGAAGGCACAGATGTTTGTAAATATACAGTGCCTGTGCGGCATAGCGGCACTCTAAATATGCGGAGAGCCGAAAGTCCTCTCGAGAGCTTGGTGGTAGAAGAAGAGGGGTATGAGACTCTGGGACCCGTATTCCCGGGGCGCTCTCCTTCAAAATTAAGGACGGAACTGAGTAAAGTCGTTCGTTCACCTGTACGGAGCCCAAGGCTTTTGCTAACGACCGGCGCAATCTTACCTCCTTACCACGGTGGATTTCGTGAGCTTGTTCTTATATCAGACAAGCGAGATTAGTTACAGTAACAACAACAACTCAAAGACAAGCCATGAGAGAAGTGGTAGCTGTTTTTAGTGATGGATTTATGAAGGACGGGAGAGGGATTTCATATGGGGGTCCCCTCACCTTAAGATACAAGATACGTTTACAAGTTTTTAAAATTAACTAATGATTATGAGGCCCTCTCCAGCTTGTGAATGGTGCCCCCCCCCGTAAATCCCTAAATATCGTAATCCGTAACCTTTAATCCCTGTAAACTTTGAATAGTTTTATTGGAAAGACTGTGATCTTATCGATTACTTTTCTTTCCTTTCCAGAGGCTTTCACATTAGACATAAACCTATTTAAATTACAATAGACTTGAATTTGCAGTTCTGGCCTGCTGATTGGCCGACATCGCATTTCACACGGGAGTTTAAGTCTCTTCTTGATTGCCGTACTGCTTGTTTGTTGCTAATAAATGTGATCCGTTTTAATCTAATTTCTGGACCAATCTAATAAAATAAATTGATTAGTCATAACAATCATTTCATATTTCAGTTCCTTATAGGATGAATGTTTTTTCTACATAGACAGCATTAGCTGCACAAACAATACAGAGGTTTACGTGTCACAATAACTCGCACTATCAGCCCACCAATGGCCGAGCGATAAAAGCCGCTGAACACTGGTAGTTCGGTCCAGGCGGTCCGAGAGTCCCGTCGAACGGGTTGGCTGCATGGGCGTTTTCGTGGTTTTTCCCATGTGTAACGTGGATTCATTCATTCATTATTAATTGCGCCGAGATATTGCATTTAAATGCAACGTGTCCGGCTCATGACAAGTATGCCCAAGGGGCGCATGACATACATGCCTTAAAAAGACCTCCACGAGGCATCCCACCCTTTCTGTGTAGTGCCTGAGGGCGGAGCACGTAATAAGTAAAAAATGATGCGATCAATATCGCATTAGAATAGCATTGGACTGGATTATTTGAGTTTCCGTGAAAGACGTTAAGGGTAGGGATACTTATGGGTATAGATACTTTCATGAAGGACTTTCTAAGGAAATCTGGATAATATTCCTATTACGCATGGGGGGAAATGAAAACGAAAACTCCCGAGCAGCTAGTCCGTTCGCTGAGATTTGAGCCTGTGATGAACTACTAGCGTTCAACGATTTTACCTGTCGACCGCTGGTGGGCAATGTATATAGAAATACGAAATGTATGCAATATACATTATGATCTAACACATAATGTAGATACAAATAATAACATAATTTATAAATAAAAACTCCCCATTTCTGCAAAAACTTGGAGACACAACTCTTTATTTCCTCGAAAGACTGCGGTATTGTGTTATTATACGCGTGTAAGAGTTATAATCATGTTGTTAGAGTTGCCGCCCCTTTTGATTTCCCCTCTTTTGCTGGTTTATTAAAATAGTTTGCAAGACTACACACCATTTTATCAGTATCACAACGACTTGCGGTAAGTAAAAAAATTGCATTTTTAAATTAGGTTATTCAACAGAGTGAAAATAAATGAACATTAAATATTAATAAACTCATCGCAAACGCTAGAAAACCACCTGCAGTGCAAGATATGTTACTTTATACGAGTATAATATATACACTTTACTAACATATCCAACATGTCTTGAAACGTATCACCTGTAGATATGGGAACAATATTATTCTACAATGTATATATATATACATTTAGCATATAGTACCACTGAGCAGGCTTCCGACCTAAGATTATCTAAAAATTACCAAGCGGAATAGTGCTTGGTCAGTGGAAGTCTACTGCCAACTCTGCCGCAGCCTCAGTTGATCAAGGTAGATCAGACAGGCATTAATTTAACAAAATCAAGTTACAGAGTCACAATCCAAGAATAATTACATTGTCATCTTTGCTTGGAGCAACTAAAAAACATTCAGATATTATAATCTTAATAAGATAGGAAAATAAACATTTGTGAAGAAGAAACAAAGTAATAATGATCTTGATCTAGCGCAAAATTAAGGTTACAAAATCTTGTGATTAAAAGTTACTTGTAGAAAGGTCAAGCTAGATACGATTACAATTCCAACTTTTGGCATTATGTACTTTACTACATTATGAATTCAGTTACAAACCAATGATATACCGTATATTTGATGCTTAGGTTACGAATTCTCACAGTTACATAATTTGTACTGTTGCATATAAGAAATGCTGATATAGAAAACTTTATACGCTATTACAATGTTGCGCAGTTGCATGACTTTCGAAAAAAAAGGGGAAAGGGGATTCACAGTTACATAGGTATTATGAAACATGGTAAACACTGTCAGTCACACAAAACAAAACAAACCTACAATTTACATAGGAGCAATATAATACAGAGTATTTCAGACGTAAATGGGAAAGTAATGTAATTACATAAATAACACGGTGACGCATATAATTCGCAGTTACGTAGGCAGTTGCATAGATAATACACAGTAATATTTTCAGTAAATAAAAGTAGATTTCTACTATTAGTACACCAAGAATGAAAAACAATACTTATCAGCATAATAGCTTGCATTCATACGATGAAATACCTTAAGAATTGAAGGTAGTTATAACATACACAATAACATGGATTATACAGTTAATATAAATAAGTTGTGTAAGTAGAACTCTGTAACATATGCATATGCGCTATATATATGGGTATGCAAGAGTTTTTGTAGGAAAATAGTTTCTTGCAGTAATTTACGAAAGTAAAAAACTTTGTATTGTGGCACAAATAATAATGTCATTATCATCAATGTGTAGCAACATCAGAAAGGCATATGTGAAAAATAACATAAAACTAACACTATGAGGAAATAAATAAAAGTTGGATAGGGGGATGCACTTATACGGGTAACAATTTTACCAACATTTCTAAAACAACCTTGCGAGTTTTTCAGCCGTATCAGTTCACTTATGATTGCAATGATATTCAAAGGTTTGAAAGCAAATAGGTCCTTGCCTGTAAATAGATACACTGTGCATATTATTACACTTTGGCATGTCTATACCCCAGAGTTCAGAGCGTTTCTCAAAGGAAGTGCATTCCATGGGATAAATAGAAGTCAGTATGGAAAAGTTGATTAGATCTGGTCAGCTAGGATTCTATTTAGTCATAAGAAATTGATCCGAGTAAATCTTAATGCTTAAAGATGTAGAGTTCTAAAAAATGAAACATTTTCGGAATACCACTGTTTGATTTTGGTCAACTTTTTTAATGCTATTAGTTGTTTTACTAAATTGTTGGTCCATTCCTTCCAGAAAGTGTCCACTGGTCTGTTTAAGTGGAACGCTGACGTCAAGGGGCAATAGAAAACATAATGATCAGGACCCCCTGTCGCTCCACACTCGAATTGCTCACTGTCACAAAGGCCAAATTTGAAGAGATAAGTTAAAAATGGTCCGTGCCCTGTTGAAAATGTTGTGACTGCCGAGGAACCGGAAAGGAAGTTACTTGAGACCTTTGAGACAAATTTATGCGTTCTTCTACCTGTGTTAGCAGTTTCCCGCCTGAGCTGCCACTGTTGAGAAAGCTGCATACTAATTAATTTCTTGAGATATGAGCCCGGTAGAGGAAGAGAGAATTCAGGCAGATTCGTGCCCATTGCCGTCTCCTTAGCCGTAGCATCATCAGCAAGCTCATTTCCAAAAATGCCTGTATGTGCAGACACCCAGCACAGTATTGGTCGAGTTGTGGAGTTAAAATTGAATAACATTTTCTGTATGTTATGCACCATTGGACTTCTGCTTCTAAATCCTGCAATTGCTTTAACCCTCTGAGCGTTATGAGCGGCTTTATACGGTTATCAGAAGTTTTGCTACTTGGCATATATTAACTTATAATTTAAGATATTTTGCTTTTTTACGTTCTTTAATAATGTAAATAATATTATTTTAATGAATATCATCTTAATGAATGTAAGTTTATGAAAATACAGACTAAAATAAGTAATTTAGAAACTCAATTAATAAATGCTGTTTAAATACCGGTCTTCATGACGGATCTAAAATCCTGCGCCGCTCAGAGGTTTAAAAAGGTGTATTAACTTTTAACAAAATGATAAATAAAAAAGTATATTAATTGTAAACAAAATGGTAAAATATTCATTTTAAATTTCAGTCATTTTACAGGTTAAAAAGCCTAATTTTGCATCTTAAAAATCCCAAAGAAAAGTCTGCCTTAAATTCGAAGTAGTATAGTAAATCTGTCAATTTTGGCAATTAAGTGTAGCGGCTGCTTTGACAAGGGAGTACTAAAAATTTAATAGTACTTCCATATCTATGGGCAGTTTTTTTCTAAAATATATTGTGGATAACAGTGGACGCTATTTAGAAGATATCCAAGTAACATATACAAATTCGTAAAGTTTAATTGCTAAATTTGACACAATCATTCAAAATCAATACTGAAATTTGGCATTTATGCCTTGAAGGTATTGTGATGTAAATAATAGATTTCTCAGTATGAGATTTGCTATAGAACATGACTAATGAGAACAGGGTTTATTAAAGCGAGAGCTGAGAGAGGTTTAACAGAAAAGTGTATGTACATGGAGGAGGAGGTAATTTTTTTTTTTTTTTTGGCTATTGATAATCTTGGCTGCTGCTGACATTTTTATTGTCATGATGGTGAAGAGATCAACTAAGAAAAGAATAATTCTGAAAAAGTATTCCTGTAACCTGAGAGCACACACATAGTTCTTTGACAAATTAGAAGAAGGTGAGGCCGTTGGATAGTCTGAAGTAGATGTTTCTCTTGCTTAGTTAGGGACTTGACTTCGAAAGGGAAAATTCTCCCGCACATGTCCAGGAAACCCACGTAGCTAGGTTACCATTTTCACTTACTACAAGACATGAAAGCCAAACAGTAATCGATTATCGCTCAGATTGCGATCGCGTGATCTTCCAGAAGCAGAACTTTCGTCTGATTGGTTGATCTGTTAGCGGGACAGAGCTGCAGCTGAAATATTTTCGACGAGGTTTAAAAAAATCCGAGGATTATTTAACTGCCTTTATTTCTGGTCTCCCTTGCACGTAAGGGCAAAAGCAAGGAGATTTATTATGAAAAATGCATCCTGGGGATGAAAATTAATATCAAGAGATATGAAGGACGTGCGGGGACCCTGCAGTGTTATCGCTGTCAGGGGTTTCACCACACACAAAGCAACTGCCATCACGCCGCGCTGCGTAAAATGCGGTGAGGCTCATGAATCCTTCAAATGTACCAAGGCAAAATCTGAACCACCGCGATGTACAAACTGTCTGGCTGAGGGACACACGGCAAATTTTCGCGGTCGTGAAAAGTTTCCCCAAGACCAAGCCCATTCAGAAAGCGAAGACCTATGCTGAAAGAGTTATGGTGAATAAATCACACTCGCAGGCACTCTCAAGCGGGATGGCTCCCGAATCCATCTCTGAAGCCAAACAGGTATTAAGTGTTCGTTTCCTTCATAAATGCGTCAGGAATTCCTCTTCTCTTCAAGCAACTAACTAGTGACAAAAATAATCAACCTCAAGAATTCGCAATTAACTCCACTCTTAATGGATAACGTCCGTATAGCTGCTCCCATCAGACGTACATTTACCGCCCGGATAATATTGCACATTCGGATATCCTGGATATTTTATTATCCACCACTACTATCCCTGTGGTGACTGAAGTTCCTCACGAGCTTAGCTCGGACCATCTTCCCGTTATAGCTATACTTGGGATTTCTAAAAACTGTGTCAATAATACTCGTACTGTGACGGATTGGACTTTATTCCAAAATCTGATGAAAGACAGAGTATTGAACTTTACTAGCTTACGCAGTGAGAAATGTATTGACTCTGATACCCGTACCCTGACAAATACTATACAGAACTCTGTCATTCATGCAAGTTAAAGCCTCCCGAACAAGGATAACCTCTTTAGACTTCCTAGACATATCCTGCTCCTTATTAAACAGAGAAACAGGCTATGGAAAGTCTACCACCTCCAGATCCAGCTATCAAAAGGGACATTAACCGGCTAAACAGCGAAATTAGAAAATAAATCATGCAACCGTTTCCTGATTTTTTAATAACATAATTGCAACTTCAAACCAGGAGAAAGCAGATATTTTCGTTAAATACTTAGAACTGCAGTTCACTCCTAACAGCTGGCCAATGAACGAAAACTCGGAACTTAGAATTTTTCTATACGTCCGCGATTGGCTAAATTCCCCTAGTGCAAACAACGCCATCAAATTGGCTACGCCCACAGAAGTAAAGACTCATGTAAAACATTTACGACCTTAAAAGGCTCCTGGAAAAGACGGCATCACAAATACGGCAATTAAATATCTTCCTAATAATATTATCTGCAAATTAACCAGTATCCTGAACGCATGTCTTGTATCTGCCTATTTCCCAGACAAGTGGAAATTCGCTAAAATGATCATGATAGCCAAACCGGGCAAAGATCACACAAATCCAAACGGATATCGCCCGATACATTTACTCTCGGGATTTGGTAAGATCTTCGAAAGAATTCTTCTTGACAGAATGAAAATATATCTCAACCTACTCTCACCCGAATAATTTGGATTTCGGGCAAATTTGTCAATGACGAAGCAACTTGTAAGGCTCCCATAGTTTGCAAAAGCAGCCCCTGCATTGTAAATAAACAGTTGCGATTCTCATGTTAGACGTGGCGAAACTTTCGACCGCGTATGGCATAAGGGTCTTATCTACAAACCCATCCAGATGAAATCTGAAAGGGAACTCGTACTCATACTCTTCTCCTTCTTAACAAACCGGATATTCACAGTTTCTGTTAACCCAGCAAGCTCCTACGAAGGTAATATACATAGTGGCATTCCACAGGGATCAGTGATCGGTTCGATCCTTTTCCTCTTCTATGTTGCCGACTTTTCTCAGCTTCACGGCAGCTTCTAGCGTGTTATGCGGACGATACTTCCCCGGCAGTACTGTCTGCAAATGTAAATCACGCAATTAAGAGGCTTCAAGACAAAATCTCACTCATAGGGGATTGGTGCAGAAATTGGAAAGTCCAAATCAACCCTGAAAAATCACTACTTCTTATCATAAGTCGAAAGAAACGACACATTCGAGTCAAGAAGGATCGGGTCCTTTTCAACGAAGCAGTTCCTATAGTCCCACATGCAAAACATCTGGGTGTTATACTAAACGACAGACTCACATGGACAACGCGCATCACCCATATCCGCAAGAAAGCAACTGCAGTGATGAAATCCCTCTACCCGATCTTCGGCAAATACTCTAGATTGGATTTATTTAAGAAAAGACTCATTTATCTCTCCACGATTCGCCCCATCATAACCTATGCTGCTCCAGCCTGGGTCGCCGCCACGGATTCACACCTAAATAAATTGCAAATCTTGTAAAATAAATATTTACGGATTATGACAAACGACCATTACTATGTAAGAAATAAACGCCTCCACCAAGACCTCAAGATTGACAAGATCAAGGACTATTTACAAAAACTAAAGGAGAAGTTCTACAAAAGTGCAGAAGAATGTGATCATCTCACTGCATTCAATTTATTTCATGACGAGATATTAACGGAAGACAAACACCTTTGACTTTTTGCGGCAGTTATGCTAAGTAGAAACCAAGTCTTCCCCACCTAGCTCTGATAATTTCGATTGTGAATGCTCATTAGCAGTAATGAACTGTTTGCTACTTTTCAAGTAGCATCTCTATGCATGGGTCACAACCCGGGAGGATAACCCTCTCACTTGACTATCACATGATTATGGACTCCTGACTACGTACCCCATCTTATCGCTTACACATTTTGACGGCATGTAAATAGCGTATATATTGTATATAGCATCAAGGACTTGATTACTTTTCTTATATTTTTTATTGTTTTTTCCTATGTAATTTTGTGCAAAGCCTGTATTCTCAGTTACTTGCCTGGAACTATCCGAGCCAGTCAGATGTCCTCAAATTTCTCAGTGACAATTGGTCACTCTCTCTGCACCTGCAAAGCCGTCGTCTGGACTCCCAGTCATGCATTTCATCCCCTGATGTGCTCTAAGAAGCGTCTACCTTATGACAGCCGGAATACAGTTGGCATTGCAGTCAGCTATTCGCGGCTCATAGCGGAACTTGGAAAATCCGGGGTAACCGGTACATCGTTTCCGTAGCTAGGCAGGACTTCGCTTTCAGCGAAGCTCTTTTTTCTAGGAATCCTCCAATTTAAACCAGTGCTACCAGAATCTCGTTTCTCAGAAAAGCAGGGACCGTCGCTAGACGTGAAAACCTCTTAAAATTCAAATCTCTCATCTCATAGATTGTCAAAGCTAATTTGCATTCTAGTGAGAAATACGGAAAGAAATAGTACAGATCAAAATCATAATAACGGTTAATTAATATCTTACAATCGTAACAACAGATGGCTTACTAGTGCCACTAATTTCGGTACTTTGCGTGCATAATCGGGTCGGAAGGAAATAGAAATGATCCCCAGGATTTCATTAGCTATTAGTTATTAGAAGCTATTAAGCTATTAGAAGGGCTGCAATCGACCCATAGGCTAGCTTTTGTCCACCTCTATTGTATGGCATTTTCTCCCTCCTTACCGCGTGCTTTCATGGTGTAAATGGAAGCATGTCCGCTTAGTACGTAATCGTGAAGTCCAGAGCTCGATTCCCGAGATGGCGCTGCACATTTTTCACATCTCCTGCATCAAAAATCTCTACATCAAAATAACTAGTGGTCTCTACAAGCTTACCTCGGTAAAACGCACTCGAGCTCCGTACTGAATAAGCATGAGAATAAGATCCGTATATCCTTTTTCAGCACATATATGGAGAGGCGTAAAACCTACTTCATCCATGACATTAGGATCGGCTCCAAGTTCGAGTAATAAGTGCAGCAGTTCTGGATCATTCTGATAGGCTGCGTAGTGTAAGAGTCTGAGACCTTTGGTTATAGGATCATTAATCTGTGATATTAGATCTTCTTCCTGCATGACATCATAGACATAATCAGAGGTTGCTCTGTGAATAATGTAGTCCGCAAGTCGGCGCATCGGTCTCTTCGAACGTTGATCTTTCTGCAGCGATTCGAGAACGTCTGCAAAAAGGAGAAGAGAAAAGAGATATAAAAAATTAATTATTTAAATGGGCGTGAAATTTTGTTTTCTATTTTGCATATTGAGGATATAAAGAGATTCAGTCTAAAATCTGGAAAGGTCGTATTAAGGACTATTCGAAAAATAAATGCATTCGAAAAATAAATGCAATTAATTTCATATGTTAAATATAAGTATGTAATTAATATTTTGATAGTAAACTAACGATTACTTTAGAGACTTTAATAATAAACTGCAACTTTAATTATAAACTAATTAAAATTATTAACGAACATGTATGCTATTTAAAATTCCTTCGAGACCTTTGTGCAAAAAATTGTCTCAATAACCTAAAACGAAATCCGGTCCTCAAATACAAGTGACCAAGGAAGATAACGAATGTGGAACTCATTTTTACAATCATGTAAAAACAAACAAATAAAAAATTGGATTCATTTTCTGATAAGAGATATGGTATATTTACTTGTTTGAAATTATGGGTAGCTATTTCACTAATAGAATTTTCGAAGGAAAACTTTAGTTGTGCTTTTAAGAAACTTAGATTACTCACATAGGGAAACACGCGGAGGAGGTATATTTCTAAAAGGACGGGTATTTTCATGAAGGATTTTCTACGAAAATTGGCTCATATTTAAGCGAAACAAAAGCACGAAACAAATGCAACGAAACAAAAGTACGAAAATTCCTTGCTACATTGTACATTCAAGCAATTGGTTGGTTTTTTAAATGGCACAAAACCTCGAGGGTTATTATGCGCCAGACAAATGATGAGTAAAATTCAAGATGCTAATTCCAGAGGAGGATTCAGTATTTCTCAGCTTTAATAGGCTGTCCAGTGGAAGCGCCAAATAAAGAGAATGTCTATACGAGTAGTTACCCGGAGCTCTAGGCTAAAGAGAGGAGAGAGTGTATCAGAAAATTAATTTAAATGAACTGTTTGCCTGATGCTATTACTACCCTAAATCTCACAAGAGAAGCCTTCTAACCGAGATGCTAAAATATCTTCATCCGGTTCTGGTAGACCGTTAATAGAAAATGTTTTTAGCTGGCGCTAATATTTGATTAAATGTTTCTGATATGGCCCAATATTCAATTTTACCAGAACACGTATAAAAGTATATTTTCTCTCTTTTCAAACAAATTTTTTAGCGGCCAATCAAAGTTATATGCTAAAATAAAGGATCGTACGCATTGAACGTGCTAATTTTGTTAACATGGCCAGTGCAATCATATAAAATAGCGAACGTATTAATGTTCATTAAGATGTCGACCTGTCAGTTACACGAACTGAAAATTAACAGTAGAATGATATTCAATAATCTATTATCAATATAATCAACGTGCGTTATGTTTTTGCTATATTTTGGCATCTTAAAGGTAACTTAAGGTATTTTTTATTCTTTACACATAACATAAACATTTTCCTAAAATCTATATTTTTGGACTCCAGTAGCTTGGAATTTTATAAAACAACTTCATTATCAAAATCGCTGTTGCAAGCAATCGAAAAATGACCAAGATACGATTTTCGCTTAAATGCCACTAAATATACAAATTGCTATTACCCATCAAACAATGAATGTTTATTTTATGCGGAAGTGTTCCCGCTTTTCGATTTTTATGGAACTGTCGTGTGTGAAAGTCACTGTCAAGGTGACAAGCTCTGGATGTAAACAAGACACACAACCTCTGATGCTCACCTTTTCCTAGAGCAAAACTCAAATATCCTTCGGATATTCTAACCTAACATTTTGTTAATTATTTGAAGTACCTACTACCTTACTGATCCAACTTTTTTTCACATTGCTGGTCTATTTTCATTCATTTCATTTTCCTTCGCCAACTGATGGCGGCTAAGTGATAGCAGTACCAAACAGAAAAAAAATTACAGATTAAAAGCTCTGAAACTGTAGATATACAAATAGGTAAAAATATTTACAGATGAAATAGCTATCATTACGCATTGGCTAATATTACCAAGGCATTTTATTGATTCCTATCTAAACTCTCACGTTTTATCTTAACGTTCTAATCTTTTATCCTTTTATCTTTCTCTTTTTATCTTTTATCTAAGTATTAAATCGAAACTTTCACTTACCGGTAAATAAACCAGGTTAAATCAGACAATTCATCCTTAGGCTACAGAAAGGGTGATTTGCAAAGTAGGATAATTTCAGTTATACAGGCAGGAAGACGCGTTCAGTCAAAATTCTATAAACTGTTAGTCTACATAAATGGTGATCTGCAAGGTAGGGTGAATTCAATTAGACAGGCAGGAAGACTCGTTCAATCAAAATTCTGTAAACTGTAAGCCTGCAGAAATGTCCATTTGCAAGGCAGGGCAGATTCAATTAGACGGGTAGGAAGGCTAATTTAGTCAAAATTCTGTAAATTGCTAGTCTACAGAAATGGTAATTTGCAAGGTATGCAAGGTAGTGTAAATTCAATCAGACGGGCAGGAAGACTCGTTCAGTCAAAATTCTATACCCTAAGAAGATTTTCTTGTTTCTTTCTTTTTTTTTAATACCAAATTAACTTTTTGTTTCATCACACAAGAGCCGTTTTTCGAAAGTTTGGTTTGTTTTTTATGTGATTACGGCAAAGTTTCGAAGACTATATGCTTAAGAGGAGGGATGCCTTCGTGGAGGACTTTCTAGGGGAATCTGGCTCGTATACACGTTACACATGGAGAAAACCACGAAAACCCCCATGCAGCCAGCCGTTCAAACTCCGGCCCTAAGTATCAGTGTTCAGCGACTTTATCGCTCGGCCTCTGTGTGGCATTTTTCGAAAGAGAAAGAATCATAGGATAAATTAACTATGGCAGGTTAATTAAAACTAAACACTGCAGCTGCCAAACGATTTTTTTAAAGAGAATTTGCTGTTTATGTAAACACAGGAAAACGCACGCTATTATTAAGGTCAGGATTGGATACTCATCAGTGCTGAACGGCAATAATCGAACTGACGAATGTATCTTGTTTTTACAGCATACTGATGTTATCATTGTGTAAAGGGCCTTAAACACAACTATATGGTTTCTTTTACCAATTGATGCCATTGCTCTGTTAAACGTATCATTTGTCTCTTTTAATGTTCACAATTTATTACGTAATATACGGAAAAGTACATTATTACAAATCGTTAGAAAATCATTTTTTTAATTGAAAAAGGAGAGAAACTAGAAACTTCTAATTTCACTTACAGAATAAAAAGCATATAAGTAAACAAAAATTTTACTTTCTAAATACGACAGGAATACGTCAACAATTTTAATGCTTATTAAACAGGAAATATTAAAAAAATTATTTTTTTTCGAATAACGCAAACTTTCTTATTCCCTAGATATGCAACAATACATGCACATATTTATATTAAACACATATACAGGTACTATAGTAAAACATACGCAGTTGCATTTAATAAAAATAATTATTAAATGCAAGTGCGTATATAGTTGACTCTTGTATATCGCGGATTCGAACTGCTCAGCTACTTACGCTTGGACTTCAAAACACATTTTTGGAGTTTACGATAGTTTCAAAAATTTTAGCAGAAGAATAACCAAGAAAACGTTGAGTGTGTGATAAATGCATAAAATATATGTAAATAATAGTTAATTTTGACGTTCATTACAATAAAATACACTTACAAAACTTTTCACTTTTTATAGTTAGCTTTAGTAATAAGTTTAGCACATACATATTGTTTTAAGTTGTGTAACGTAATACTGCCTCATTCACCTGCCAGATGTCGGAGATAAGCTTAGCTATTGATAAATACACAATATTCTAAACATTATTTTTACTTCCTCTAACGTTTTCATCATCTCTAATTTACTTGATTTAAAAAATACGATATTTATTACAAATAACCCACGACTGTTTATCTAATCGGTAATTAAGTTTTGTACGTAATTAAGTTTTGGGTTAAGTTGAACACAGATTTTCGACAACGCGATGAATCTGCGCCCCTAAAGTCTAGTCTCAGCAAGGGCACATGTAATCCATATGTATGCGCATATCACGATGTTAAATTAAAAAATAATGCCTTTAAAGATAACATTTAAATTTAAAAATAAAACAAAAAAAATCTGAAAACTTTCAGATTTTATATTACACCCACAGAGGCCTTTTTTTTTTTTTTTTAAATATTTTTTATTTACACATACATACACGTTTCGAGAGCATTTCGGCTAACCTCCCTTTGGGCTAAAAATATTTAAAAACAGCATATCTTTAGAATTAACGATAGACGCTGAAGAGAAAAATATTTTATTCCATATAGTGTGTTGCCACTGCTACCTTTGAAATCGTTGGGTTTCTTAATAAAAAATTCGTTAAGGTTTAAAAAAAAAAAAAAAAAAAAAAAAAAAAAAAAAAAAAAAAGATAATAAAACAAATTCAGAATGCAAGATTCGGTCTTCCATGTACCCATATTCGGGTGGGGGGCTACGTTATTCAAAATTTGATGGCCCTAGGAGTCATTTTTTTCTCACAATGTGAGAAACATACATATGTTCATGCAGATGCTTCATTATTTAATTTCTCTAAATATAATACAGGGCGATGATATTTGGTGGCAACAATTTGAAAAGTGATACAGCCGTTTCGTCACAAAATGCCGTTTCGTGAGTAATAGGCTTTCTAGGCTAACGCCGATTTGGGGTAATAAAACAAATGATGAGACAGAGTAACAACTTGAACACCAAGAAAAAGTCTAAATGCAAAAGTCTTTACCACCCCAAAATATTTGCTAGGCAGTAATTTTTTTTTTTTTTTTCATTATGTTAATGAATTTCTGATTTGGTTATATCTGGCATTACTCAGAGTAAATATAAACACTTACCCATAGCGACAGGCGATTGAAGAGGTGGAAATTCGAAGAAAAGCTCGATTTCCCATTTTCGCATAGGAACACTTATTGTTGCATCCATCAAGACCTTCGCTTTCCTTATGCATCAAGAATTTGCTAAGCATCCATACGTAAATAAGAAGCATACACTTTCTTCAACTAAATCCGTTTGCGGCTTTGGCAGTTTTTAAACTTCCTTGGCTAGACGCTTGGAGTAGATGGAGCGCACGTGGGCTTATTTTTAGAAAAGCTGTTATGCACAGAGATAGGAGGCTCCAAAATACTTTTATTTATCTAACGTGGCGACTACGCAGAAGAGGTCAATTACACGCGTGTAAGTAGCAAGTTTACATGCAGAACACTTGAACTTGTGACTTGATATTCCAACGAAAATTGGAATTTTCAAATATAAAGCAGTGGATGCGGAATTAGAAGCTTTTGAAGCTGATTTCTTAACGGAATTATTAATGCAATGGAACTACAAAGGGAGCAATGAGCGATTGAACGATTTTCATTTTTTGTGTTTTGTTTTAAACATTTGTAATATATTTGCAGTTATAATCCTAGATATAGAAAAAGAGAGAAAATTCATTTTACACAGAAAATAAAGCTACATTTAAAATATTTTCTTCCAGAATATAAACATCAATTATTTCCCGAATATGATAAGTTTAATTCAGCAGTGCATATGTATTTCATGGAAGGTACAGATTGTTAGCAATATTAATATAATATTAGGACAAATAATTGATGATAATACGTGTCGTTTTCATTTGCATGAAATACTTAATTAATTGTATTCAATTTTAATTCTGTTTAGGTTTATATTGTTAAGAATTTTGCACATAGATAGATAATTCTAGTGAAATTATATATGATTTTTTTTGTATAATATAACATGATAATCTAAAAAGACGATACTCTGCCGAAAAAATAAGAATATAGGGGTAGAAATTCTATTTAACATTGAGTAAATGGTTATCTCACTAAATTGGAGAGATATCGTCAAGCAAGTAAAGATTTTAGAGACTTTTTGGCGAGAAATCGCCAAAGGTTGCCAAAATTGGCGGCTATTTAGCGAGATTTTGGTCCGCTCCGTGTATCACCCTAATTGGTATTGTAATTAAATGAATATCACCGTATTAGGTGAGTGAAGAAGACCACTGACCTGGCCTTAACAACACATAGTGTTTAATCTTCCTGGCAGAAACCATCTACTCTCTACTCCACCCAGCTCCACGAACGCTGCCGAGTAGATTGCTTAGAGCCTCACAAAGTTTACAAGTAAATTTGAATGTTGTTGTACGGGAAAAGAGTAGCCTGTCAGGGACTACTTAAAATTAAGCAAAAACGCAATCGAAAGATTAAGAATCGCTGTTAGAATAGGAATTTGTGTTAGATAGAGAATGGAAGGGAGGACTCTGCCTGAAAAATGAACTGCCCTGGACTGTCTGGACTTGCCAAATGTCTACATGAGGATTCTAATCTTGTCACAACTGTTATATATTCAGTGTGCTGTTTGTAATATCGTCAGTCTTGCATGAAGGAAAGGCGTAACGTATTAAATTATTGTAAACTAAAAAAAGTAACTAAAAAAACTAAGAAAAACTTTAAAAAAGTACATTAAACTAAAAAATAAAAATAAAGTAAACTTTTAAAAAAGGACATTAAAATTTAAAAAAATTTGTTTTGAATTTTTGAAAAATTTTGTGAAACCACACTGTTCAGCTGATAAAAGAGAGTATGTAGTCAGAATTAATCCGTTAAAGGAAATCTTTAAAAAAAGAAACAAAGGACCAAATTTTAAAATCTGTCTTTGGAAATCATTAATGCTTCATATTCTGAGAGTGAATGGCTACATATGTTTACAGATGGCTGTATGTTGGCTGACAGTATTAAAGCAGATGCTGGCATCTTTGGTAAGAATTTTTCATTTTACAGTCCAGTTGAAAGGAATAGGCCTGCTTTTGATGCTGAGATTTCGGCCACACGCATAGCCTTATCCCAACTCCAATTGCACCTTGAACATTTTTCAAAATTTCTTATACTCTCTGATTTTAAGGCTGCTCTTCTATCCATTTCTTCTTTTGCATCTGAGTAGCAAACCTTTTGGGATACTTGAAGCTGACCAGGGTAGTAGTTCAAGAATATTAATCGTTTGAGTCCGGCGAAGCGCTGCCACGCTTCGCTTGTCCCGTATGCCAAAAATACGGCGCAGCGCGATAGCGCTTCTCTTGTTTTGTATCGAGAATGCGAAGACGCTGCTGTTGGTTAGTATACTTTACGCAATTATTGAGAGCAGTTGTAGTGATATAAATAGCAGTTGTTTTATAGGAATTGGAAATTGTTTTCATTTTTTTACCAAGTGTTATACTGATAATTACGAAATAACCCATGTCAAGTTCTGATTCATTTGAAAGTGACTATATTATTAGAAGTGATAATGAAGAGTATAGTAATGACCTTGAAAGTGATAGTGGAAATGACACCATCACTCGTTCCAAGAGATTACAAGTTATTAGTGATAGCAGTGATGATGGTGAAGTAACTGCAAGTACCTCCGATGACGATATTATTGATGAGTTTTTACTCGTGGATCAATATTTTCAAACGAATCGAATACTTTTTCTCAAATACCTGGACCAAAGCATGCCCCACCTCCTAATGCGAAACCAATTGAATATTCGAATAATTTTTTTTCAATTTTCAATAATTTGTTTTTCAAGTATACTAACCAACAACAGCGTCTTCGCATTCTCGATGCAAAACAAGAGAAGCGCTATCGCGCTGCGCCGTAATTTTGGCATACGACAAGTGAAGCGCGATAGCGCTTCGCCGGACTCAAACGGTTAAAATCGATTGTTTAGAAGAAACAACTTTAAAAATCTGTGACCCTTTATATGTTCAAACTTCAACAAACTTCTCAAAACGGTTTTTATAAAGCGATTTACGAACTTCTGGAAAGACGTAGATTATTAATATAATCGGGATCAGATAGTAATGCTAAGTCGAAAACTCCTGTTGTCAGGTGCAAATGAATAGAGGACATGAGAAACAGCAACAGATAAGTGAAACATTGTTTTATTCATTAATAATTGCGATATTAAAAGAGGTGACAGACGCGACAGACAAACATAGATCCCCGACCCAAGTCCGACTTGCGGACCCATGCGGAATTTAGATATCTATGGTCCAGAGGACCTCGTCCTCGCGGGCGTAACCCCCGCATTCCCCGCCCGGCTTTATATAAAGCATAGGGCAGAATAAATCTTAGATATGAATTGAACTTAGTCAGTTTGCCTCCGGGCACCACTCCATCGGCTAAACTTACGTCGTAAAGTGCGCTCTGACCACTCTGTCTGTCTCCGTCAAGAGAACTGAATGGAGTCAAATCCCCGGGGACTTGGTCGACGATCTCCAATCTAGCTCCACCACAACCGAAGGGACAGACACGACAGTACCAGTACGGTCTCTGCCAAGCCTGAACCAGCCTAAGTACAATACTCGGGTTCTGGTCCTGTGAAGTCAAATTATATACCCCCGTGGTTGAGACTGCCTAGGTATAGACCCTAACCAGTACTTCCCAGGAATTCTCCTGAGTCAACCCCCGGGTGGGTTAAAGAGGTGACAGAAGGTATTTGAAATTTCAGCCAGCAGCTGCAACACAAGCCTGAAATCGGTGTCGCCTAGCACCACAGACGGTTTAAAAATTCTGGGCTTCTCTCGGATGGCCGCAATAGCATCGCAGATGCATACGATAAGATCCTCCTTACTGTCCACTAGTGTATTAAGCATCAGACCTTTCAAATGTTCTCAGAAAAATATCTGAGGATAGGTCCAGCGATCCTGCACATCAATGAAGAGGACCAACTATGTCCTCTTCTCTGTTGTCAAAATATCTTCTTTAAGTGCTCCAGAAAGTCGCAGCTGAAATGAATTAGAGCTTTATCATGCTTGAACCGAATATCATGGATGGAGGATTGCTGAATCTATTGGCCATCAGGAAATAGTCCCTCCAAATAAATTTTATAACCCCGTTCGTCCAAATGAGTGAGCAAGAGATATAAGCCTATTAAGTGGTCCCCAAAATACCAAACAGGACCAAACACTGACAGCAAACCGGTGTAGCGCAGCACATGTTCATGTAGTATGGGGCTTCTCCTTGCTAACATGCCAGTTATGTTTACTGAGTAACCTTCCCTGGTCAAATATGCCTCGTTTATGTATACCATAAAAGTCGGAAAAGGGGATCCGCCGTACTCTTCTGCTAATACTATTGAGTAAAAGCAATCTTCTGTGGATTATCACAAGGCTGCAGTAGTTGTACGCGCTGCTCATGGTATGCGTGCAGTTGGTGATTCGAGTTCGAGATCTTCCAGACGGTGATTTGTGGAAGATCGAAGCGAATATGTCACAAGCACTGTCTTCTAAATGACGAAGCACCATCTTTTCCATAGCAGGAGTCCGTGCCGTTCGTCTCCGATTCATGGCACATCTCTTAAAGAAACACGTTTCACATAATCTTTGATGAAGCCATGTTAAGGCTAGCGTCAAAGTTTATGTGAAACGGGTGCTTCGGAATGCGTCTCATCGTCTAGTGTTTCCAGTACAGGTCACAACGACTCGTCCATTTCAATAAATAGCCCTATATGCTAGATACGTATCTGCTAACTCCGAATATGTGAAACCTTCCATCTTGTTACCTCTATGGGATAGTGGTTAGTGTCACTGATTACAGTACCAAAGGACTTGGGTTCGAATCTCGAAGACAGCAAGGATGTTTGTAAGCGTACAGTGTATGCACGGCATTCAAAATACACGGTGACCCGAAATCCTCTGGAGAAGCTGATGGTAGGTGAAGAGGGGTAAGAGACTCTAAATCGCTCTCAGGATATTCCTCCATGGAATTCTCTCCGGGCAGAAGCTTGCAGTTAGCAAGGCCCGACGATACATAATATGTCTAGATATATGCGCCTTGCTTCAAGCTGTACTCGTACGGGGGATGGCCGAATGATTGTTTTCCTATGCAGATGTTTTATTAGTTCTGTAACAACTCTCTCTATCACTTACGATCACATTTCCAACCTTGAACAGACTCGCACTGACAGTAGGTGCAAAGTCGTGCGGCGCACGACGGAGCCGAGTCAAAAAGGCGCCGAGCAATCATTAAAATAAGCAGTTC